TCTTTCTTTCTTTCTTTCTTTCTTTCTTTCTTTCTTTCTTTCTTTCTTTCTTTCTTTCTTTCTTTCTTTCTTTCTTTCTTTCTTTCTTTCTTTCTCCCTTTTGCTCTGTTTTTTAAAGATTATTCATTAAGCAGTTATCATAGCAACTGACTTACTTATCAGAGTAAGGTTTACACTGGTATTTCAATAGAGGAAACCTAGCATTTACTACTTTGCAGTGGTGTCTGGAGGCTACAATGTTGATTGCTGTTCAAGACTTTTCCTGTTTACTGGTTGTTTGAAATTAAGTGGCTGTTCCAAGCCTAGGAAGAAGTCTGGTGCTGCTACATAACCTCCTGTAAGCCACTAGTAGCTGCTATACAGAGTAACTCTGAGACAGTGCTTGCCTAGACAGCGGTGGAGGAGAAGGGGCTAATGATGGATCATAGCTAGATGATTTTGTATTTAATATATTTTGAATTTTCTGAAAGGATCTTGTAGATTTTGACATTTTGAAAGACAATCAAACTAGTAAAGACCTTCTGACTGACAGTAAGGAGGGAAAAAAGCAACCTGCCATTCTGAGGTAAGATGTGGACCTTGTGAGAGATGTAAACATTCTTCATTTTATCTCCTGTCTGGAATACAACAGGAAAGGCAAATTAATTCTGAGGGAGATCTAGTTGTCTGAGGGAGCTGGGGCTGTCTGAGACAGCTGGGGTTGTTTAAGCTGGAGAAGAGGAGGCTCAGGGGACACCTCATCACTTTCTACAACTGCCCAAAAGGGGGATATAACCAAATGGGGGTCAATCTCTTCTCCCAAACAATGAGCCATACGACAAGAGACACAGTCCTAAACTATGTCAGGGGAGGTTTAGGCTCAATATTAGAAGGAATTTCTTCACAGAAAGAGAGATTGGGCATTGGAATGGATGTGCAGGGAGGTAGTGGAGTCATTGTCTTTGGAGATGTTCAAGAAATAGTGGCTGTATCACTTTAGTGCCATGGTCTCATTGACAGGGTAGTGTTAAGTCCTAAGCTGGACATGATTTCAGAGGTCTTTTCCAAACTAGTTGATTCTGTGATTCTGTAAAGAAAATTACTGTACTAGGTGAGAAAAAGCTGTGTATGCTGAGAAGGAATTTAACTTAAGAATGCACCTAATGCAAGTATTCTCTCAGTGATTCATGATAGATACAGAGAAGTTGAAGTACAATCAAATGGGAACAGGAGTCTGGAGAGAGCCATGAAATACAGGTTCAGAGGTTCAAGAGACAACTAATTGTTAGTCAAAAGGTGTCTTGAAGTGGTAGGATATATTTTATCAGAAGAGAGATACGGGTCTGAAATGTAAGGGCAAAATCAAGTTGTTACCTCTTTGCAAGGAAAAGGAGAACAGCATGAGAGGAGCGTTAGAAAATTCTGGATAAGCAATCATTTGCATATATCTGAAGATCAACCAGGGTACTTGCACACTTCTTCACTGTGAATGCTATAGCTTAATTAAAGAGTTCTTACATTGTAAGAGATGTTCTTCTTATATGGCAATAAATACACCTTGAGAATATAACACATGGAACTAGCTTATATTATAAGGAAGACATTATACAATAAGTTTAATTCTTTTAATGAAAAGACTGTCTGTTTGAGCCTCAGAAAAGCTTACATCTTTATTAGTATGTAACATGCACATCCTATCTATTCCTTTTCCAGCGCCAGTTAGAGTAATATAAAATCAAGGACAGCCACAGGTCTCTTAAGAGTTATTTAGCTCAAGAACTTAAACTTGCACATAGTTCTGTGAACTTTTTTAAACCACTGGCATCCATTGGTATTGATGACAGTCCATAAACCATTTTCCTAAGTAGATCCGACACATGGTACTTTCTCTAGTTTGGCAAAGGAAGAAATGCTAAAATGAGTATTAAATTGCTAGTCTTTTAGCTTCTACTGAAGTGTCTTCTTACAAAACAATTCTGACTCTTAGTATGTAAAAATATTAGCCTAGTAAATATTTAAGAGAATGTTTTCACTTATCACAAAGTCTGTCAAAAAGTAGCCTTAGAGATTGGTCATAAAGATTCCCCACATTATAGTGAATAGTTGATAAGGTAAGTACCTGTTGCAGAGAATTCTGGGACAACGTAGATGGCTCGTGGAGATTCTCCTGCTTCATTATAGGCAGAAATATTGACTCTGTAGTAAGCCATGGAGAGATTAACAAGAATTTTTCTGTCTTTGAGAGAGATATGATTTGGTGGGTGGCTGCAGCTGTTGGGTATTCTTTCCACATTAACAAAATATCCAAGGATGTTCTCACTTTGTGCTACCTATCAAGAGGAAAAGAATTATTATTCTATAAATGCTGCTACGTCCTGTGCAGAAAATCAAGAGGAATTTATTTATATAAACAAAATATAGCCCCTAATGATGGGGTTAAAACTGTACTGTTTTAATTAGGTCATTAGGAATCAATGAAGCTAAGCACTTCCTTAAAATTAAGAGCATGCTTAAATTAAAAGGATTTAAGAATAGGATTAAGAATTTTCCTTAACTGAGATCTTAGTTATGTGTTTGCAATTAGTAATAACAGCAGTGAAGCAACTGTAACATTCTCTACATTTCCGTGGAACATATCCCTCATTATCAGGAACTTGAAAGTTAATGAGAGGTGTTTAATTGAAATTTATGCCTCTAGGTATACTCATCTCCTAGGGCTTGGTTAGGTATTTAGTTACCTTTAAAGAGCAATGCTAGTAATTATGCTACAAATTTGTAACGTGTTAAATATCCATTGATAGAAATTTCTGGTGGTGGTTCAGTCATTATTTTACTGTACTAATCTTAATAAGAGATTGGAAAATGAGTGCTCAGAAACAGAAATTGCTGCAGTATAGACAGAAACTTAATGCATGAAGGCCTGTGAATTCTTCAAGGATTATATCTGATATCAAGATTGTCTGTTATTTCTGGCACAAAATTAATACTCTGCAGATACCATGGATGCTGGGTTATCTTAATGAAATAATTGGATAGCTTTGGAGTAAAGGAAGGCATTTAATATAGACAGGAAGACATTTAATAATTTAAAAGGCAGAGACATATGTCTTGAGAGGAATTTCACATGAAGCTAGAAGGTCTTAAAATGAAAACATGGTTTTCCCTGGAAAAGAAGGGAAGTTTTAGTAATTTTTCAAGATTATAAATTGATGTAATTTTTCCTTGTTAGTTTCTAGCATGTAAATCATCAGCATATAGTTACAATGAATTCTGCAGCAAGTATACAATATCCAGTGCCTTTCACATACCAAGTGTAGACTTAATACAATGAGAAAGTCTGTTTTTCCCTCCAATGCAATAAATAAATAGCATATACACAACAGAAGGTATCCAGACTCAAGATGAACCTTACCTCCCACTTCAGAAGAACACTTCTTCTTCCTGGAGAGACTTGTGTAGTTACATTATATGATATCCTTGGCTTGTTCATGAGTTCTGGTAAACATGGGAACAGGTAGAGATATGCACTCAAATGAATAATTCTGATATTCATTTTTTCAAGAGTATCTGAAAATGCTATTCCATATGACATAGAATTTGGAAAAGCCTTTATATTCATACTTACCACCAGTAGGATGAAACTACATTTCACTTACTGTGAGGGACCAAAATCTCTTTGCTCCAAATGCAAACACAGTTGAGGCCATCCTTAGTTATGCATCTGAGCTGAACAACGTATGAAGATGTAGCATTTAAATTTGAAATGGTGACATTGACAGCATTGTTTACTACAGACACCTAAAAAAAGATTTCATCAATGTAACAGCAATAAAACATTATCTTATATTAATTTTTTTCTCAGCCTATGACCAGTCTTCTGACTCAGCTGGAAGTAGAGGTTCCTCAAATAGGAATTCCTATTCATCAAATAGGAATTGTTGCACATATTAGTCAAGGTATTTTCATTCTTTCAAGGCAGCATCCTCTTTTTCATGACCCTGTTCTGCTCACTCAGAACAGTAAGTAACCTGGTCTAAATATTACTTTTAAAATCAATTAGACATTACATGTACTGAAAAATAAAAGTTTACTTAACTTTGAGCCTTGTTAACATTCTCATGAAGAAGAAGTCAAGAGAAAATGAAATATTAAAAGAGTCCTTATTTTTGAAAATGTTATCATGTCTAAATAGATCCACATGGCTGATATCTTAAGTAGCATGACCAGATTGAATGTATGGCTGCCTATATGCCTTGGCACTGCAGAAGAAATTTGCATCTGCAGCTGATGACTGCACTGGAGCCCCAGTAACTGTATAGGGAATTGAGGTTTTCTTGAAACAAAGACACCACTCATGTCTAAGAAAAACCCTCAGCAGACAAATACAGAGAAAATAAGTGAAAGTATGTTAGAAACTCTTGTTATCACTTAAACTTTTCCCTAAAACCCCCCCAAAACAACAAAGCCCCACTGTAAGGTACCCACCTCTTCTCTTTTAATTTATGCAGTACTTTATTTTTTAATTAAAGTTAATTAATTAACTTCTGTGGAAGTATGCTCACCTCCCTCCCCTCCACTTCCCCTCCATCCTGACCTTTATTTCCTGTAATCCTGACCAAGTGATAACCATTACCAGCAGTCATAACAGATGTGTCTGGACCAACACCCAGCTCAAAGTCGACTTGGGGCAGACAGATAACAACATGAAAGACAAGGGCTAATTTTGACAGTTCATCCACCTAATCATAGTGCTAGCTAAGATTCGATTCAAGTCATCTTTGGAAGAAACTAATATTTTAATTGAGCGCCCATAAAGGTCTTTAAGTGTCTCATCCTACCCCCTTTAAATAGTGGGCAGCCCACAGGCTCTTGAGCTCTCCTGGACAGTGGTGGGCTACACAACAGGATCTCTTGAGTAAGGACACTTCTTAACTTCCTAAGGTTACTTCTCAAGGATGAGAGAGTATTCATCCCATCAGATACTTGATAAGTAAATTGGAAATTAATACACTGAAAAATTTAAATCTCAGTTCAGTGATACAAAGGATGGATTGTGCACATGTAGTCCTTTAGATATAAACTGTTGACCAGGGACTAAGTCTGGATCCAGAAGCAGCTAGATTTTCAAGGACTCTGAGAAGAATTTTAGAATGTGAGGGGAGCCTTTTTAAAGTAATATGACCCATTTAAAAGGTCTCTCACAGTTCTATCTGACTCCATTGTCTATGAAGTAATCGTGTGCTCCCTGCCATCTACTCTTGTTAAACCCCTGTCACATTTACTATCAAACTTCGCTAGATTTCTGTTCTACATCAATAAATATATGGCTACTTCTTTCTTATGAGTGAAAGGTATTACTCTGTCCATTACAACTTCATATAATTTTGCTAATAGAAAATGCTTGGTTGCAAAAAATCTCACTACCCCCAATATTACAAAAATACTCCAGATCTCTACAGAACAAGAGGGAAGTGGAATGGATTTAAAACCCAAATGTTACATTACACTACAGATACATTTATCCTACTCTTGACAAACACTAGCTTTATACATTCTCTGTGCATGTATGGCCATACTCACTTATCTGCAAATGTAGCCTATGTTACATTATTAGGAAGAGATTACAGCCTAAATCCATAGCATCAGTTGGGACCTTGGAGATAATGAATATTTAAAGTAGTCTTCACTCATTTGCATCACCCAGTGTGAGTGTCTCTACTAGTCCTTCACAGTACTCATGTGAATCTTCCATCTCCCTGTCTCCAAAACCTGTAGGGCATGCATTTGTACTGCTCTTAACCCTCTGTTCTTCCACATGCCGCATACCAGGCTGTGTGCACATAACCATCTATTGCCATAGTCTAGTCTATTGCCAACCATCCAGTCTGTCCATTGCAATACTGGGTGAGCTATGCATGGGTTACTGGCTGCTTTAGGATGGTCTAGGACTTGTAGCAAGTGAATGAGGGGACCTTTCCAAGACCTGAATGTGCTTTGTACTGGGATGAAACATTTTTTACATGGGCCTCTCAAAGTACCTCTTCTGAAGTGAACTGGCAGTCAGCTACAAGAGAAATGGAAACAGTCTTCTGAGACAAAAGGAAGAGCAAGGGAGATTTTTGTGGCAGAAAGGAAACAAAGAGGCTCCTGGACGAGCAGAGTTTCCCAAGAAGTGGGAACTGTTCCTATTTAGGCAGTTTTCTTCTTGGGGTTATGTTCTACTTAATAAATGCATATTCAAAACCTAATTAGCACATATAAAAGTAATAGAGCTTAAAAAACAGACAATCTTTCAATTGGGGACTTAGTGATGCAAATCATGCATATGTGCCTGCCTGCTGGAGAAGCCTTTGCTTGATATGCTGGACGGGAAGGGGCAGGATAAGTAGTTATTGCTGCTACATGCAGACATTATTGAAATTAGGACTAATTTTCCATTTCTTACGTATTCTCTTTGGTTTTGTAATGTTGCTGTGTCATATTACATGTCCTAAAATGCATCTGGAAGTGATCTTGTATCCCACAACATCCTTCTCTCCAAATTGGATTGTGATGGATTTGATGGGTAAACTGTTATATGGATTAGGAAGTGGTTGGATAGTCACATCCACAATCAATGACTCAGAATCCCAGTGGACATCAGTGACAAGATGTGTCTGTCAGGGGTCCATAGTGGGTGTGACTAATGTTATTTAACATCTTCAGTAATGATAGAGGGATCAAGTGCACCCTCAGTGAATTGGCAGATGATCCCAAGCTGAGTGGTGCTGTTGGCACTCCTGAAGATTGGGATGCCATCCAGAGGATCCTGGGCAAGCTCCAGAGGTGGCCCATGTGAATCTCATGAGTTTTAACAAGACCAAGTGCAAGGTGCTGCACCTGGCTCAGAGCAACCCTGGTACCAGCACAGGATGGGGATGGACAGATCAGAGCAGCCCTGCCCAGAAGGCCTTGGGGGTGCTGTGGCTGAGAGGCTGGACATGACCCAGCCATGGCACTCCCAGCCCAGAGAGCCAAACGTGTGCTGGGCTGCATCCAGAGCAGTGTGGGCAGCAGGGCAGGGAGGGGATTCTGCCACTCTGCTCTGCTGAGACCCCACCTGCAGGGCTGCATCCAGCTCTGGAGCTGTTTCTGAGCAATCCTGTGAAAAGACGTCTATGCAGCAGTGGAGGAAGGGGTTGGAAATTCTTTTAACTTTAGAACAATAGAGCATGACCCCTATATTTGTTGTTAGTGCTTAATATTGTACATACAGTGCTTAGTACAAATACCAGAGATTAATGTGGCCTTGTGCTAAGTCCCTACATCTGTGACTAATAAACTTGTTCCAGTTAATGCTTTCTTGTTTACTTCAATCGGTGATTTAATATGTACAAACTAATATCTCAGTTTTAAGGGCAAGGATTTTGTGTCAGAGCAAAGAATGATAAGAAAAGTACATTACGACCTGATGACATATTTGAGATACTGCCAAGGAGAAAAGATTAGTCAGAAGATCTGTAACCATATCCAAACAAGTGGAAATAATTAGCATATATGCATGTGTTCAGGAAACATGAAAATACAATAGTTTCAGGAATATAACCTGGTCTCTTAAGTTACAGGGCATGCATGCCTTGAAGAGAATCACCTATGCATTCAGCACTGCTAATGAAATAATGTTGGCTTCCTAATCTAACAAATTTGATGGAGAGTTTATTTCCCAATTTTCAGGGTCCCCAGCACAGGCAGGACATGGACCTGTTGGAATGAAACCAAAGGAGGGCCACCAAATAGATCAGTGGTATGGAGTACCTGTCCTGTGAGGAAACCCTGAGAGAACTGGGATTGTTCAGTCTGGAAAGGAGAAAGCCTTGGGGAGATCTTATTGTTGCCTTCCAGTACCTCAAGGGAGCATACAGGAAAGATGGGGCAAGACTATTCACAAGGGCATGTCATGACAAATCAAGGGGCAATGGCTGTAGACTGAAAGAGAGTAGGTTTAGATTAGATATTAGGAAGAAATTCTTTGCTGTGAAGGTCGTGAGGCACTGAAGCAAGGAAGTTGTGGATGCTCCATCTCTGGAAGTGTTCAAGGCCAGTTTGGAAGAGGCATTTTGGTCTACTAGAGTGTGGTCCTGCACATGGCAGAGCTGGTTGGAACTAGATGATCTTCAAGGTCCCTTCAAACTCAAATAATTCTATGATTCTATTACCTTGTATTATAGGGAAATTAGTTCTCTTCTTTCCAAATAAGGAAATCTGGAATACTTACACAAACCAAAAGTCTGTAAAGTATGAATTACTAGCTTCAAAAACAAAGCAACCTGATCTCTAATCTGTCTGAAAATGTAATGATTCCAGCTAAAAGAGCAATATTGTAAATCTCTGAAAGTATGATTTGGATCTGAGTTTACATGGCATTTCTGACATTCAGCTTTTGCACCACTTGTAGTTGTAGTGTCTCACTGATAGGTTAATGAACCAGATAACATTATTCTATTTTACTTAGCTACTATTGCCTTTTTCCCAAACATTTCATGATTTGTTAGAACCAAACTAAGGTGCGTTACTGGGATCTACCTACACAGTGACTCTTTGCTGTGCCACCTTGCAATCCTGAGCTGATAATTAGGCATCTTATATTCTCATGAGTTTGTCACCTGGAAGTACTTACCAATGTCCATGGAGCAGATTCTGTGAGTGCCTCTCTGTATCTCAGCTCGTAGGGGGTATTAGCTATGGGCAGGTCCCACTTTATTATCAATTGGTTTGTGATCTGATAAGCATTTATGTTAGATGGTGACAAGCACTTTCCTAAAATGAGGGAGATATAGCTGTTAAAAATGCAAGAGAAGCAGGAAAGTTTTGGTAATTATGTTTGTTGAGTGTGTTCTATAAAAATTAAAAGGCTTAGCACAGAATACTGGACACTGTGAGACTTCAAAAAACCCTGGAAATCAGTAATTACTACATCTTTATGGTATCAACAAAACACCATTGCTCCTTTTGCCTATTTTTTGTGAATGCTTCTACTGATTTCAGGAACAATCTTTTTCTAAGTGATTACTATTCTGAGTGAGACTGAAGGGCAAAATCAAAATGTCAAGAGTACCTGTAATCACGAATTGTATAAAAAAGTATCCAGAATATCATTAAATTTCAGTATGTGCAAAAATACCTTCATATTCCTCTTCAATAAACACAATGTGGCCGAAAGCCTTCAGTAAAGGTTGTATTGATAATTTCGGTTGTACTGGTAGTAGCCCCCAGCTACATGAGAAATGTTTTTTTCTTGGACCATGATTAGTCTGAGCAGGTGAAGTTTTGCAAAGCCCTTAACGTTAGTTCAGTGAGCAGATAGGAAGGGAACCTTTAAATAAAAGGGCATAATAAATAGGGCTGCTTTTCTCATACCTTTCTTGTAGCACTGTGTAATGGGTAAATGGCCTTAGAAAAGAGTTAAATTTTGAAGAGGTGTCTCAAAATTTTAATGCCCTCTATCAAGGATTCCTTAGGTGCACAGTGTTGAGTCAATCTGCTCTTTGTAAACCAATATAAAGAAATTCGGACAGCCATCAAAGAGAGAATAGAAAGCCGGTTAAGTATTTAAAGTAAAACTCTCTCCCATAAAAGATGATAGACTTCCGTTATTAACTTAATTCAAGGAAGTCAAACTGCATCTTAGCTCTCTGAATCAGTAAAAACAATAGAAGTATTTTAGGAACTGAAATTTGGAAATAATCTTTACAGACTACAGGTTTAGCTGGGCACTGCACTAACACAACTTGTGAAGGCAACTTGTGAACACAACTGTACCTGCTTTGCTTGGTAAAACTGAGATGTTCTTTCCTTTTGCACAGGTGTCATGGGCATAATTCACTGCTATCCAAACGGATGCAAATCTCTCAATGTAGAGATTCTTTCGTTCTATTGTGATGGAAGGTGATGATGTGTTTCGTTTAAAAAGTTTTTGTATTTTGTTCCTTCAGAGAAAAGGAAGCAGAATGAAAAGCATTTTATTGGATTATAGTTATTCTTTCCTCCCCTGCCCAAGAAACCAAAATTATAGCAACTAACAGCTTTCCAGATATTTCTACACGTAATTCCACTTCTGGAAATCTTGAAGGTTCACCTTGAACAGCTTGAAACAGCAAGATTAGTTCCAGCACCCCAGTAAGCCTAGCAAATCCTTGTGTTGTTTGGTGGAGCACTGTTGGATTCCTTAAACTTCTAAGGCATAGCATGATGCAACAAGATCTGTATGACCTCCTTTTGTACTTACAGTGGGATATATAGAGCATTTTAAATTAGGTCAGACATTTCTTCATAAAGCCTTTCCTCATATTGCAGAGGCACACAAATTCTGTCTGAACAGCAAAATTTCCCAGTTATATGAATCTAAATTACCATAAAGTTATGAAAAACCTCTTATGAGTTTTATCCCTATCTTCTGACTTCTGTCCCTGCAAATCATCAGAGTTTGACAGAGATATTTAAATGTCACCTGAGTCCTCAGCCCTGTAGATTTCTCCTAATATGCACAGCTAATATACACAGCAGACGAAGTCCAAGTGTTTTAATGCCTTACATACAACTTTGCTGCCTATTTCTGTCCTATCTCTCTCATTTAGTCTCTGACACACACAGGATAGGTTTTTCCAAGGTTAAAATTGTGCAAGTTCAGTGTTCTTAAAGACTTGCATACTAATTGCCTGGCTATGCATTTCAAGTATTAAATTACGCACATCACGATTCAATATTTAATACCTGAGAAAAACCACTTGAAGGTTTTCCTGTCTTCTGCTTCAGGCTAGTTGTGAATCAGCCATTAAAATTTCAAAGCATGATTTTGAATTCTTGGTTGGAACTTTTCTGTGGAAGTATTTATCTTTAATCTTCTTTCTGACAACTAAATCATAAGGAGCAAGGACAAGGGACTATTAAAACGTCAAACTGATGTTACATGCAGGAAGGGGTGATATCTTCTTCTAGGCAAGTTAAAAGCCCTTTCACATGTGGGGATTTTTTCTTTCATTTTAACCCAATAGATGAGGAGATAGGAAGTTTGGCTTCAACACTGCTGGATGGAAGCTTAGGAGATTGAGGTTAAAGTCTTGACTCTGACTTGGAAACATCAACACCTCTTCCAGGGAATTGTCTTCCTCTGCCCCCACTGACATCCTCTTTCATTCTTTTTTCTGCCTTGTTTGTTCATGACATCAACCCTGCAGCCTGGGAACAGCACAGTCTGTTTTTGGCTTAGGACTTCAAGAGCAACTAGCTTACAAATATTTCAACTGATAACATCTCTTCAGAAACAGAGCTGTTTCATAGATATTTCTGCCAAAAAAATTGGGATTCCTTGAAGTCCCAAGAGGCTAGACAGCAAATGCAGTGGAATTTGGTGCTTATTGCCTGCTGCTACATCTAGTGAGAGAATATTGATGGTGATGGGGAGAGTAAACTTAGCCTTGAGGTGGTTGCTTTGCTCCTCTGCAATATAAAGATGATCATCCTGGGGAATTTCCCAGTGTTGTGACATTTTCTTAGCTTTAGGAGATACTCCTAACCACAGCTCATTTTTAACGACAAGGGATGGCTATGTGGCAAAATAATCAGCAATGAATATCAGAATTTACCAACGGCATACAGTGTTGTATTCTATGCACTACATGATGCGGTCTCATGGCAAAGATCATGTCTTCAGATCTCACATCTCTATTTCTGAACATGCCCCTAATCTCATGGGAGATTTCAAATATCTAGATATAAAATGAGGAAATTCAATTTTGTAATGCAGCTGCAGTTGAAGATACCATTTGAGGTAACCAGTTCAAAATCAATCCTACAAGTGCATTCCATCTGCTTGATCATTCAGAACTACCAGAAAGTACACCACATCTGACATGTCCCTGGGTACATGGTATAGCAAAATATGTAATACATAAAATAAAAGCTTAGTGTGTGTTTATGTTTGTATGTTTGGTTTTAATTTTTTTTTACTCTGAATGCATCTGTGTTGAATAAAATAAATAAAAGTCAATAGTTGAAGATTAAAGCAATTGAGTAAGCTGATCTTTGGCAATAATGCTTTAAACAGTGTGCTGGAGGCATGGTAAGATGTACAATGACTTTGTATTGGGTTTGCATGGCAAGGTTTTGGGAGCAGGGGACAGATTGCTACAGAGGTGGCTTCTGTGGGAAGCTGCAATAAGCTTTCCCCACATGCAACCAAGCCAGTTCCAGCTGACTTCAGGATAGACCTGCTACTGGCCAAGGCTGAGTCCATCAGCCATGGTGGTAGTGCCTCTGGGATAATGCATTTAAAAGAGGGCAAAAACTGCTGCACAACAGCAGCTGGCAGAGAGGAATGAGAGCGTGGAGCAGCAGAGAGCAGGGCACTGCAGCAGGTTTGCAGGGCCTGCTCTGGAGCAGCTGCTCTTCAAGGGCTGGCACCCATGGAACAGACCTACACTGGAGAAGATCATGAAATGCAGCCCCATGGGGAGAATTAATATTGGAGGAGTCAATGATGGACTGTCTTCTGTGGGAGAATTCCCATGCTGGATCAGAGGAAGAATCAGAAGAGAAAATAAGTGACAGACAACATGTGTTAGACTGACCACACAATCCCTTTTCTTGTCCCCTGACAATGCTGGGGTGGAGGAGGGAAAGAATTCAGGAGAAAAGTTAAGCCCAACAAGAAGAAAAGCATGGGTGTGGTAAGGGGGTGGGCAGAGAAGGGGAGGATGTTTCAAGTTTTTAGCTGTATTTCTCATTACTCTGCTCTGATTTGAATGTTAATAAATTAAATTAATTTTTCCAGGTCTGGCCTGTTTTGCCCATGACAGTAATTGCTGAGAGATCTCTTCCTATCCTTGTCTCTACCCATGACCCTTTGTCATATTTTCTCTGCCCTGTTGAGGGCAGGAGGAGGGGAGAGATAGGACAGTTTTTGTGATGCCTAGCCAAAATCAACCTACCACTTTCTTACCAAGCTCTTACAAATCAATAGGTATTGATGAGAAGTGACGAAAGGTATTGACCAGCATTGTGTAACAACCTATAACTATAATGATGAAATATACTGGAGCAAAACTCTGGCAGGTGGGAATCATGTCTAACAGCAATAAGAGCTTTTTGTCTTCTGAGATTTTTCAGACTTACCATTTTAAGTATACAGTATAATTAACTGTATTTGCAGCATTAGGTACTGGCAGCCAGGTACAGGTTAGATCCTCACTTAATTCTTTGTAACACACCAATTCATTGTCCCAATCTGGAAGATGAAAACACGTGCACTGGAAAAGACCTATCACAGGCAACCATTAACTGACTCAAAGGGACTATGGATAATGAAACCGAATATAAGCCAGGCTAGAACTGGTTGTCTAGACCCCAGAATTCAAAACTTCAAAACCATCAATCTCTTGCTGAAGTTCAGAACTACACACTATTGCTGGATAAAAATAATATTACTTTTATACTGCCAGCTTTACAAAGAACACATTATAACACAGGAGGAGCATAAGTTTATATATCCAATTAGTTGTTATTAATTTTTTAAAGAGAAAAATGGGGCTTTTTTTGCAACTGAACATACCCTTTTTTCAGTTGATGTGAAAGTAAACACTGTTGACATTGTCAAAGGAACTGGTTTTTTATCTTTAGTGGTTAAGTTTATGTCAGTATTTCAAAAATCTCTTATCAGAAATGCTAATGATAAAATACAGCTGTTGTTCTTTTGCTTTGTTTTTTTCTGTCTGAACCGTTAGTTCAGAAGAATCAGTCATGGTGTCTCAAAATACCACCTAAAGGACTTTCAAAAAGGACTCAGATTTTTTTGTTGTTGTTGTTCAGAAATGTGGACAAGGATCTCAATAGGCATAGGGACGCTTAAAGTGAATTTTTCCTAATGAGTAGAGTCACACATCCTTCATGTTTGTTAGGTTTAACGAGTTGACAATAGGTCTATCAATCTCGAATAAGAGATGTTTTGCTATGTCATAAGTAAATATGAGTATGTTTGGAGCTGGTGTTGTAGCATAGTTGTGGTATCTCATAACCTAGGTTATGAATTAAAAGATCAGTTCTCTTTTCCTCATTTCTCCCTACAACCTGAGTTACAAAGAATCCTTGGCATATATAAGTTAAAAGGTCTTTTGGGGAAAAAAGGCGTGTCAAATGAGTATAGCACTGACTTTAATATCCTCGCCTTATGACACTTCTTTTCTCATACTAAATGAATAGTGCTTTTCTAATAAAGTTATGCTGCATCAGTTTTTATTCTAGTGCTTTCTTTGTTTTGCTGTACTGCTCCACCTTAATTCTTCCCAGACCTAGCTTAGTATTAAAGCTGTATCACACCTGTGCTTCAAGAGCTATGCAAATAAAGAAAAAAATTCTTTGTTCTAAAGAAAACACAGTTCAGTTTCTCCACTAAAAAAAAAAACAAACCAAAACCCAAACCAAGCAACAAACCAAACCCCAAACCACCCACCTTTAATTGTTTTTCGCTCTAGAACTTTCTGTTTTTCTTCCTGAGCATCTGGTTGTCTCACGAATGATTTAGTGGAGCTTAGTCTGGCAGGTTAATTACAAGGACTAGAAAATTATCCGTGGCTGATTTCAAAAGAACACAGTCCTCCTACAGACATCTTGCCCAGTGTCACCGTGTACTCAAGAACCTGTCACCTCTGCTGTGTCTGTTAGCAATCAGGATGTTCCTGCCTACAATAAATCCAGCACGAAGTACATCAGATGGCCACCCACTGCTCTGTCAAAATGTGTTGTACGGCTCCTTCTCGCCACCATCAGTAATTTCCCAGTTAAAGGGAAAGCAGAGATTCCCGTCGTACATCAACACCAGCGGATCCGCCGTCTTTAGGACGGGCGGCTGCTTGCGATGAGCCGGGCGGGCTTTCACCCACAGCCTGCCCCTTATCCCGGCTCCCTACCGTCACCAGACACCCCTGCCCGGGATGTGCCTTTGGGAAGCATGCTTGTAGGGGCGATGGTTCCGAGCGCCGGCGGTGCCGGGCTCAGCAGCGCCGGGACCCGAGCGTTCCACCCACCTGGCAGCTGCCGGCAGAACGGAGAGTTCCAGTCTGTGCAGCCGCAGGGCTCTGGGGAGCACAAAAAGGAAGGGGAAAATTAAATAAATAAAGGAAAGAGAGAAAGAAAAGGATTGCTGGTCAAGACAACCACGAAAAAAAATAAAAATAAGAAAAATGTTAAAATGTTGCTGGTAGCTGCTTCTCCTGCTCACAGAATTTAATTCGGTCATGATTTTGTTCCTATGGCTTCATCCTTAAGTTGCATTAAGGATTTTTACTGTTCATAAGCAGCAGTAAGCTATGCAGTATATGAAAACTCACCTCTAACTAGTAAAAAGATAGCTGCCAGCAGAGAGTTCTTCATCTTCTCTGTAAAGAAACATAATGATTACCATCAACATTACGCTGTCTTCAGTCTATTTTTCACACTTCCTTTTCAAACTTCCTATTCATTCTAACACCTATACTGCTACTGGCTGAACACGAGTAATAAGTTTATTAATGACAATGGGAAGGACACTTGAGTTCTGTGTTATTAATTATACTGACAAAATCCTAAAAATCCTTCTGGAAAACAGGAACTCTCCACCCTAGTTTTTGTAAGCACTCACGGTGAGATTCTTAGTGGTATCTGCAGTATCAGCAGTGCAAAAAGAATTAAGCTTATAGGTACTTCAAACTCCTTTGAAAACCTGTAACTGTCACTGCAAATTAGAGATATTCATATCAGTAAAAAGGAAGTCAAGGTGTTTAACTGAGCCTAATATGAATTCTTGGATACTGTAGAAATAATAGCAGCAGAAGACCCTGACTTCTTACATTTTTCAGTGTAATTTCCCTACTGCAAAGATGTTGTGTCTACACCGTTGGCACTTATACTAGGGCCCTAATACAGACAGAAGTCACCATAGCTGTAAATCAGAAGTTTGCTCCACACTATTGATTCAGAGAACATTCTGAATATAGAAGGCAGCAGAGACACAACTACTGCTGTTACTGTTACATCTGTAAAGGGAAATTTTCAGAAAATTTTGCTACTGTGGGAAATTTCCCTTCTGGGCTTAGACAGCTCCTATCAGAGGTTGGATGCAGACCTACCTGGAGATAGGCAAATTATTAACTTATCTTGGCAACCATGGTATATTTCAGGTTGAGTATTGAATAGAAAAAGATATCTGTTTAAAATTAATCACTTTCCTAAAGAATGAGACATGCTTCTCAGTATGGTCTACAGTAGGAGTGGGTGACTATTGCAGCAACCATGTCTTATCAGATTTTCTGAAGGGTACAGTCATGAAAGACAAGTTATCAAGGAATTCTGAGTGCTACAGGGGGTTTCCTAGTGACGAATTCATTGACCTTGGGAGTAAGGTCCAGAATGCTGAGAGGTAGCAGATACAATGTATGCATGCGGGATCACAACCCTTGTTATCTGAGAGATCCAAAAATTTGCTTTGACAATGCTTCCAACCAGGAATTGCCAAGAGGGTATGGCCAATTGATGATCATAAGGAGAAACTGATAAAGTAAAAATGCAAGCCATATATGACAGATTTTGACAGTAGGGTTGAAGAGCTAGAGACTCAGAATAGTGCAGAAGTCAGGAGAAGGAGAGAACTTTAACAGCAAATGTATTAGTTTGATGTGCTTAGCATAATTACATTCAAAACAATCTATCCTAAATGAAAACCATATAAATAACTCAATGCAAGAGCAGGACTGGATTTAGTGTGCACAGAATTAGGACAGAGCACACTGGAGAGAAATAAACCCAGTGAAGTAAGTCCATATCACCTTTGCTAGATTTCAGTATAAATGCCACTGTCATTGATTCTGACAAGCACAGAAAATACATTACCAGTCCAAATAGGAGAGGAGATGAAATCTTGAAAACTGGAATTTCGCATTTGAGTGAGGCTAAATGTTTTACTAGAGCCTAGCTATCAAGTTACTGTAGTAATCTTTTAATGTATAACAAAAGATAAACTATTACATTTAAGGCAAATTTTGCATAGAACCACTTTTTAAAATGTTTAATATTTCAGCTTTTTCACCACTATGAACTTCTGTCAGAATGGTAAATGCCTGAGGTTTTCCTGTAAATTCGGATGAGGATAAATTATGCCATCTTCTGTGATATGTTTTAAAGTGCAAAAATGACTGTAGGATTCTTCCAGCTTTACTTCATTTTGGCCTAGATGTTTTTTTCCAGCCTAGGCTTATGCATCACTCTAGATGAGGTTTTCCATGAGCACTTTTCCCTATCATTTCCTCCTATAAGTTCTGCAGTAAAAGCCACAGCAGGCTCCTGATCCCCCCCAGAATGTAGCCTTGAAATCTATGAAACTTTCCATTTAGACTGGACTAGACAATGTAAATTAATATTAACCCCACATCCTTCCTCTGTTCCCTTCCCCAACGTAATCTGTTAACTCTTGCTCTTCAGAGGGAAAACAATTTGAAGACAGGTGGGCTCCGCTAGGAAAATGCCACTGGCCCTTGTCGTGCTCTGCTCCTGCAGAGCTACAGCTCTTGTAGCACATCACAGGAGGACTGGTCGAGCCATGAACTTTTGAGTTCTACATTTTTTGCAGGTCAGCCATATGCCCATGAACGCTAATGAACCAGAAACAGTCTGAAATCTTGTTTTTTGGGAGTTTTAAACCTCTCCCAAGACAGTTCAGGTCATGTGCAATCAGCAACCTTGTTAAAGTGCACTCAGGTCCTGGTGGGCAGCCGAAGCAGAATGCAGACTGCAGACATACTGCTTCAGGAAAGGCATATTGCATTTCTATTTGAAGTCTTACCTTGTATGAAGTACAAACTAGTGAGGTCTTCACTGTCTCCTGGTTAAATCAGCATGTGGTTTTGCTAGCTTGCTGTTTCTTTGATAAACAGTTCCCATTGACTAGATGTGATCTCTTTCAGGCATGTTGTAACAAATTTAATATTGTAGCAATTTCAAATTCAGTTTTTGCTGCTCAGTAGTACATGCTGAAATCATGTTTTCCTTTATGGATCTAAAATAGAGTCACATAATTTTTACAAGTTGCATCTTATATAACTCTGCTTCCAATATTCACACCTCCAGGTCTGTAAATATCTGACAGATTTTTACAGATTGGCTTTGTTTTCCAGAGAATTACATGAATATCCAAATTAAATGAGCAAATCTCATATGATCTTTGGGGAAAGAAAAATTTCCACTCAGCCTGCAGCTACAGGCCCTGGGGAAATTTGATGTGTTTGGGAGAATCTCCACCACTGACACTCTCATCCTTTCTGAGTTCAAGTTACATTATGAAACAGCTTACCCTTCAAACAACTATATTATCTTAATGAAAATCACATTTTTCTACCCTAACGCATCAGCTAGGCAGAGGCCATCAAAAAGTGTCAATGAGAGATCTGCCCTGGAGATTTAAAAACTTCCAATTACAGATGAAGTGTAAGTGTGCCTGAATAGACTAGACACCCAACACAGAATTCAAAAAGATCACAGAGATTTATATATTGGGATGAAGATTCCTTTGAAGAAACAAACAAAAAAAAAATGAGACAAATGTAGACTAAATTCTGCTTATACTAGCCTAGATCTGTGGTCTCACCAGTACCGTGTCATTGACAGTGATCTGGTGCAGTGTTTTGTCTAGTGCACCAGCTAGAATATTTATGAGAGCCAAGGTGATATGATCAGATGAGACTGGCAGCTTCTCTTTATTACACATCGCACTTAGTGCAATAGGCTTAGTTTCGGGATTATGGGAGAAAATTATCACTGTGGTAGCTCAGACTAGTGGTTTGAAAACAGAATTGATTTACATGGTGGTGAGCTGTGTGCAGAACCAGTGTCTTAAGTATTGTGATTTAGAACCAGAGTCTTAAATATTGGGATTTGACTTGCAAAGAAGATCTTTACTTCTGCTAGACCACCCTGGAACACATCTTATTTATCAGGTTTAATAGTCTCTGACTGCTCTGAAAATACAATGTAAAAATCTGCTTCCATTGATGTTCATTATCTCTTCCTGTGCAGCCAAGAGGAGAAACAAGGATCGTCCTTAACTTTCTCCATCACATTTAAGACTTTATTAAATGCTTATAAGTGCTTTTAATGCACAAGTGGATGACAAAGAATATATAGGTCTTCTTCCCTACCATCCTGTTTGGTTTACCTAGGGCTTGCAACTGCTACAGGGAGTTATTTTGGGATATGTGATGTGGAACTAAAGAGAATTTGACAAAAGCTTGTCTGTGCTCTTCCTATACACAGTTTTGAGAGTAATCTTTATCTTTTTGAAGTCTACGGGAAGGCTGGGTTATTTGTTTTTATGTGTTTTTGTTTGGCCTTTTTTGTTTTTTAATGCCTGTGTTTTAATCTCTGAGGCAAGGAGATATAAATACCTTAGTTACTTTTCTTTCTCCCTCTGGGATTACTCCTGGACAAAGAAATGCTTGCCAGGGAAATACAACTATTGTAGAAAGCACGTTTGAAGAAAATCCAGGAAAGCAGTATGAGGAAGCTCACCTAACACAAGGCAAAAGGTGAACTTTTCAGGGTAGTATCCTGTGTTCATGGTATTTTATCCTACCATTTCCACCTTAGTAACAATGAATGTGATTTCACTTCTAGTTTCAGATTTTCTCCATGATAATTTTTGTCTCAGAATTTTATCCAGCGTAACTGGCCTGCCAAGTCATTAGCTTTTCTTAACTCAAATGTTTTCAAACATATTTCCTGGCTTAGAACAAAGTGATTTAAAAATAGTAATTATGGTTAACTGAGTTCTGAGAATCTGCATGTATACCCAGTTGCGACTCTATTACTCTTGGCCATTTTATTTTTCCTTCAGCTATCATTATAGAATAGATAACGTGGGGGAATTTTTTTTTTGCGAGATCATTTAATCATCTATCAAATATTGTTTCAGTCACCTTAAAATAATTCATAAATAGTTATTTGATGTTCATATGCAGAATAGAAAGGCAAAGAGGGGCTAGATTTGCCAAACTGAAATAACAATGTTGTGATTCTCATTAGCCCCTGTATCGTCCAGAGTTCAATGATTCCAGTGATTGCTCAAAAGATGGGATCCCCTTAAACTTAGTTTGGCCATAGGAGGGCCTTGCTCATGAGACTAACCACTGTTACTTATGACATCTTAACATGTCCTGTTTTGAACTCTCCATTAAGATTATTCTTGCTTTATAGCAATAACAATTGATATACAAAAATCTCTTGAATGAGGACTTATATTTAGTGAGCCATATCTCATTTAAACTTTTTAACTATTAACCTGAAGCCTCACATAACACCAAGAGTCTCCAAAGAGTGCTCCTATGCAAAACATGTAACTATCCTAGTAGTTAAG